TTGGAGTGGGGCATGGGAGGATTTGAGGGAGGGAGGGAGGGTGGGATTGGGGGAATGAGCAAAGGGGCTACAGCTGGGATACAAAGTGAATAAACTGTAACTAATATAAAAAATAAAAATTAAAATAAAAAGTCTGCCAGTTTTCAGGAAGGTGTATTTGTTCTATGAGGTTTCTATTTGTAGGGGGGTCAATGATTTGTTTTGGAAATATCACAACCAGGATGTGCTGGTGCATGACTTAAGTCCCAGCAATTGGGATGAAGAGGCAGGTGGATCTTTGTGAGTTCAGAGCTAGCCTGGTCTATACAGTGAGCTGCGGGCCAGTCAAGGCTCTATAATGAGACCCATTTAATTTAACAGAAAGAGAAAGAAAGAAAGAAAGAAAGAAAGAAAGAAAGAAAGAAAGAAAGGAAGGAAAGAAAGAACTATTATAATATTTTGTTTTTCAAGTGGTGAGAAGCTATAAGCTCCATGGCCCTGGAAAGAGATATGTTGGTGAGCTTACCTAGTTCATGGTATTTGCTATAGTAGGCCAAAAGAAATTGGACTAAAAATTCTTCACTCCCCTGGGAATAGTCCCGGTGTCACAGAAATTTGCCAATTTCTATCATGTAAAAAACCTTCATACTCCCTAATTTCAAACTACCAGCTTTGTCATTGAACACAGAATTTTCAAGAGATAATGTGCCAAACCATTTTGATCCTGGTCACCCAGAGAATGGGGGAAATCTAGACTGTCCAGTGTATTCTTAAAAATGCCCTTTATATTTGGCTAAGTCCTGATGCTTTCTTTTTGGTGTGTAGAGAAAATAGTATGATTCCCCTCACTGTTCTTATGATTCTGTGCCTGGCGTTTATGGCGAGACACTCCTACTGCTGAGTTTGAGAGCTCAGACTAGGGAAGAATACATTAAGAGCCAGAATGCTACTGGCATTCTGAATTTCAAAGGTACATACAAAGAATCTCTCTCTTTCTCTCTCTCAATAGAAAGGACTAAAATATAGTGTGTATGAATAAAAGAAAAATTTCAAAATGATTAAAAAAAATCAATGTACTGTGTCAGAAAAATAGTGTCTACTGACAAAATGTTAACTGTTATGGCAACGAGATAACAAAAACACAGAATGCAGTGCTAAAAATACGATTTTTTGCTAGGGGCCAGGAAAGGGCAACGAGGGTGAGTATGATTAAAGCTTTTTATACGTGCGTTAAAATACTTGTGATTTGGACAGCCTGCCCTGACTCATCCTCCACCTGAGCCCTCGAGTCTCTCTTAATGAGTGGCACTAGTGGTCTTTTCACTCAGGCAGTAAATGTGAGCATCACCCACTGATTCTCAGATCCCAACTTCCCCATTTACACTGGGATATAAAAGTCTAAATTTTCCATTTCCCAGCTGTCTTCTTGGCTCTCATCTTTATTCATACCCTGACAACTTCTATTCACACCCTGAAAACTACAGCCTGAACTCTCCTAATAATTTTATGTCTCTGACTAGAACTTAAACCTTTTTTACAGATTGATTTCTCAAGAGCTATGCAGACTTTGAAGCCAGATGACCCTGGGTTTGAATCATTCCATTAATTACTAGCTCTCTGATATAAAAAAATTATTTAACGTGTGTGTGTGTGTGTGTGTGTGTGTGTGTTGTAGAATATGTATGCTTGAGTACTTATGTGGGTTAAGGATGGAGGCTAACAGTTGATTTTGGGGGTATGCCTTAGTCACTCATCACTCTTCACCTTTTTTTTCCCGAAAGATCATTTTTGCTCATGGTGTTTGACAGCAACAGAAAGCTAAGGTCACTTTCAGAACCTGGAGCTCATGTATTTGGCTAGGAAGGCTGTCAGTGAACTCCAAATATTTGCCTGTCCTCACCTAGGGCACACCCAGTCTTTTCTTGTTGGTGTTAGGGATTCAAGCTCACCATTGACCCCTGACTGAGCTATCTCTCCAGCCTAGCCTTAGTGTTTTTGATCTGGTTCCAAAAACCGAGTGTACTAGCTCACTGCATAGGCCTGCTGAGCTCAGATGAAGGGATCTACCACGTATGGTGGGCGACTTGTGAGTTTTAAGTGCTCTGTAAGGGACAGCCATTTCTAAAGACCGTATCTCTCAAGCTGACAAACCTTCAGGGGTTCCTTCATCTTTGTAAGTTCCCCCACTCTCTCCCATTAGCTGGACCAACTCCAGTTCAGTCATCAGGCTGTACCTCAGGGGTCTACTTCTCATGAAAAGCCTACTTCCAGCTTTGGTTTTGAACCTTTCACTGTATTCAGCTCACTGTATCAGATTCACCTGTTTTTATAATGACCTTCTGTGTGAGTTCAGGCCTTTGGAGTGGGGCCAACCTCTCTTTTAAATTCTGGACATAGTACTGCCTGTACATTGCCTGCAGTTCTGTACACAATTAGAGGCAATATATGGTTATTAGGAAGGGTCATAAAAGACTGGGATGAAAGTGACACTTTTTTTTGTAGGGCTGACTTCCATTCTTTGCTTTGATCATTTATTTTTTTATTTTTTACTTTTTTATTTTCTGGGTTTTCAAGACAGGGTCTCTGTGTGGCCCTTGCTGTCCTTGGACTCACTCTGTAGACCAGACTAGTCTTGAACTCAGAGACTGGCCTGCCTCTGGCTCCCAAATGTTGGGATTAAAGGCTTACACCACCAAGGCCTGCTTGCTTTCATTATTTTCATGTAGTTTCCTTAAGACAAAATTAGCCTTGACTTCTGAGGTTTTCTTCTTCTTCTCCTCCTTCCTTTTCTTCCTCCTTTTTACACTGTGCCAAAGACGATCTTCCACTGACCCACATCTCCAGGTCCCTCACGCCTTTCTATAACTAACTTTCCTGCTACCCTTGTTTTGGGGCACTGTCTAGCCAAGTCCTGCTGGTTGAATTAATCTCTCTAGGAGTGTTACCTCATTCCAAAATAAGTATAACCTATGAGAAGCAAGTACTCAGTAATAAATGTGAGTTACAGCATGAGTTTACAAGTTCTCTTTAAGATTTTTCAGGGACCGTCTCTGACTTGAACTGGCTGGCTTCTTTGATCACCTCCACCTGAAGGGGGAGCAGCCTTACCAGTCCACAGAGGAAGACAAACAAGTCCTGTTGAAACCTGATAGACTAGGGTCAGAAATAAGGGGAAGGGGACCTCCCCTATCATTGGACCAGGGGGAGGGGCACAGGAGAAGAAGAGGGAGGGAGGGTGGGATTGGGCAGGGATGGGGGAGAGGACTACAGCTGGGATACAAAGTGAATAAACTAATTAATAAAAATAAAATAAAATAAAGATCTTCAAGCATCTTTCCACTTTTCACTACCTCCACCGGTCACGTGGGACTCACGGTAGACTCACACCTCCTTCCTAAATCCTGGTTTTAAATTGCCACACCTTCTTTAAATTAAGAGATTAACTAAAAAAAAAAAAAAAAAAAACAAAAAAACCCTCACTGGACATCTCGGGTTTTGTGTTATGCAAATACTCGTGTGAGTTAAGAACCATCCCACGAAGTGACTTCGTGGCTCCTGCGGTCCCCGCCCTGGCTGGCCCCGCACCCCGGTCGCCTGGGCCGGCGCTCGGCCGCTTCCGGTGGGGCCTGCGCTCTCGGCGGCGGCTCGCGCGCTCAGCTCGGCAGGCGGCCTCATGCAAGCTGAGCGCGGGGCTCGGGGAGGCCGCGGGCGCCGGGGAGGTCGGGAGCGGCCCGAAGGGGACCGGGAGCGCCCCGGGGCCGCGGCGGCGCTGGCGAGAGGAGGCTGCGGGGACAGAGGCGGCCGGCGGGGCCGGGGCCGGGGCTCCCGAGG